CCCCAAAACGACGTCGTTTCGACGAACATTAGATAAAGTTATCTAAAGTAACTTTAGAAAAAACAAACCCTATATATATATATATATATATATGGAAATATTATTTCTGCAGCCGCTTTACGTACAACAACGATAGGTGTATGATTATGATTCCCTACATTTAATGCTTTCTGTAACACCCTCCCTTGTATGCATCCAAGAGAGTTGTTTGCTAAGCGGAATTAGAGTTCGTTCGTCACAATTTTATGTACTGAAAAATCAGTTTGACGTTCCTAATTAAAACACATAGTTGAAATCGATTTACTTACAAAAATCAGAGTATACTTTCAAAATTCTTAACTTGCTGAAATTATTATTTTCCTGGCAGACGTTGCTGTCTTGAAAAATTCGTATAAAATTCAGTCCAACGATTCAATAAAATATTCTTTGTAATCTGGAAACTAGACATCTGGGGCTTCACGTTCATATAAAATAATAGTGAAAATATCACAAACGTCCTGTCTGGTAAAATTCATAATAAATCGAGCTTTTAGAATTTCTTTGCAAGGTTTATATATAATGAAACTAGACACCTGGGGCTACGCGTGCATGTAAATTATAAGAAAATCGGAGGTCCGTAGCCCCAGTACGACAACTTACAAAGTGCTCGCAAAGACTTTTCAAAACTCAGCATTTAGATAACATGTCAAAATCCTTTTCGCAAACGTTTCAACATCTGTTTCCATAATACTTGCTGGTCATAAAATCGTAATGAAATAATAAAATCATAGTTCACAGTAATAAAAGCTTCTCAATTTCATACAGTCATCCATAAAATATCACATCAATAGCAGCATGCCCAAAACAGTAGAAGCCAACAACAAATATCCAAGTCCTCAAAAGCTTTTACGTCCTCCTGCCATTTTGTAAAAATAGTAGCCCCAAAGGGGTGAGAGAAATCCCAGTAGTGTGACAACAAAACCAATGATGCAACAGTATTAAACTAGGCACAAAATTATGAACAGTCGCTTCAAACATGAAATCCTTTTCATCATATAACCTTTTCATCATATATTCTTTTCATCATATATCATATTGCGTATATAACGCCTTCATCACGCTAATAGCACCGTCGTGCGCGTGCATACACAGTGGGAATTCCATGCAACGGCACCCTCATTTATTGAATCCCACTGTGACCTATGCGGACGGATGCCAAATGTCCCATACCCTGGTACCGAGGGATGCCTATATGATGCGTGCTCAATCACATGATCCTGTAGATAACTATTCCAAGACTCAAGACTAACATGAATTTGGTACATGCATGCCATGCTATGCTGTCACACACAAACAGAAAGACAAGTGCGGTATGATGTACGGTGCATGCATATATCATCATTTCATAACATATACTTCATGTACATTGGATGCCATACTGCCAAGCCGTTCTTTCTTTTCATAACAGAATTTCCATAAACATAACATTTCCATAGGCAGAATAATTTCATCATTTATGGCAGAATAATCATAAGGCACATGTGAGCAACAATTCACAATTCACACACTAATCAATAGTCACATTAGGTAATACCGCCTAACACATACCTTGGGTCCAAGCAATAATCAACAGCACCAAAATTCAGCTCACTCAATAAGAATTATGTGCACCTAAAATACATGTGTGACAAATCAGAATTGGTTCCATGCCATTCCTATAATTCATCAACAATTTTCATGCTTCTCATTTTTATTCGGTGACCGGTTTCCCATAGCTCCTACTGTAGAGTACTTTCTTACTTAAGTTAATATACCAATTCGGTTTTCATCATGCCACTCAACTACAACAATTTTCTGACTTCTCATTAATTTTTCAAAGGTTAATAGGGAAGTTTCCAAGGTTCTGCACACATACTAATTCATTGACATGTAACCATAAAACTCAGTTGATTCCAACACGGCAGAATTAATAGACTGAAGCAACACAGGCTAGTCCTTATATTACACTTCCAAGCACCATTCGGCTGGAGTTAAGGGCACCCATTTTAGCTATTCACAAACTATTTCCTACAAAACTCAAGTGAGGTTTAGTAAATTCTATAGGCGCTGACTATACTGATTTAATGCATGCCAAATTCAACCAAATACTCCAATCCAGGGCTGGTTTAATCTATTAAGGGGACCAATGTTCAATTTTACAAATTCATTTTAATCTTACAAGTATCCAGCCTTAGAGTTTCACGAAGGAGCAGACTAAAAAAGAAATGGCTGAAATGTCACATTCTCCTTCATACATGTGGGGACCGAAACATGAGAACAGGAGCTAAGATAACAACACCATTATTCATCTAAAACATTATTATAAACTGAACAATGAGGGAATAAGAATAAAATTAACAGAATTATTTCCTATGGTCCCATGCCAGTCGAAACAGTGAGGAAGTGGAAAAGAAATTTGAAACTCACTTACCAATTCCCATACGCACCAATGACCACAACCAACAAGGAGCAGCCCAATCCCTTTTCCTATGTGCTAAGGCTGCATGCAAGGGAGGAGACTTAATCACCGCCTGACCAAGGGCATGCAACAAAATTTTCCAATTAGAATTGATCCAAGAGAGAAGGGAACAAGAACAACGAGTGGACATCTCACCTCCTAGGGAGGTGTCTAGGCTGAATCAGTGAGATGGGAGTTTGCTTAGGCATTTGTTGCCCTTGCATGTGCTGCACGGTTCAAGGAGCAGAGGAAGGAAGGAATACCAGCATCGTCTTCCTTGATTGCTTCTTTGATGATTCACGGTTGATGGACAACGAAGAAAAGAGAGTTGCAACTTAGGTTCAAGAGGTCCTTGGCTTAACAATTTCACGGTTGTTGAGTGGAACAATAACTGGTTTTGATGCTGTATAGAGAGGAAAAGAAACAATCAGCTTTGTTTTCCCCACTCGACGCAAGAAGGAGGGGTCTAAGAGATGGCTGGGTTCCGTTTTCTCTTTGAATGCATATTATATGAGAGGAGGATGGGATGAGGGACATGCAAGCTTGGGTTTTCTTCTTCTGATGATGCGCGACCAGTGGAGAGTGGGGAATTTTGAGTAACCAGTTTTGTAATGTTAGAATATAAATTGTGGATCCACACTAAGTCTTGACCGGGAGATAGAGGGAATAATTCAAACATCCCCTTTTTGGTATAAAGGTGGCGAACATGCAAGGGGAGGGAAAGATAAGGATAGCTATAGGTGGACATTTGTCACCACTTAACCAATGGGAATTACTTATGCAGATTTTATTTTGATCCCTAAGGAATTAACTAAAAGCTAAGGGACAAGGCTTTTTGATTTGTTTTGGGCTGGTGGATGTCCTCCAAGAGGTCTTGGGCCGTGGCCCTTGATGTAACTATGACCCCAAATTAACTCTCTAATAAATCACATCTCTCATATACCCTACTAGTAGCTATTATTTCAAGTGTCCACTAAGTGGTTCCTAACGTTCCTACGTGAGTAAAGATTTAAATTACTCCTATCCTTTTTTAATAGCGTTTCCATTTCCTGCAACATATGCCCCCACAAATTATAATTAACATCGTTTTCATGAATTAAATTAAATTAAATCCACCCTAAGTAGATGTACCTATATATGTATTTAAAGTTCAAGACAACCTCTTATGTTCCTGACAAACATATATTTATATATACATATACATTTATATATAGCTTCCTAAATTTGCGGGATGTTACACTTTCATCCTTTGTATGATTATGATTCCCCGCATTTAATGCTTTCAAGTATATATATGGCAAGTATTTGATTGTTGCACGTACAACAACTTTAGAAATGTAAACCCATATATATATACAGGCTTATCATTTCTCCAAGCTGCTTGAGATAATTTTATCTCCGGCTACTAAATCATAACCGTACAAAGATGGATCAACGGTGATAAAGGAAGAGAGAGAAAAAAGAATCATAACCATTCAAAGGTGAATCAATTAATATAAGGAAATAAATAAACAAAACGACGTAGTTTTGGGGTGGCCGGAGATAAACTTATATCAAGTTGCCGGAGAAATATTTTTCCTTATATATATATATATATCTTACTATATAGAAAGGAGAACCAAACTTTTGAAAATTAGCTGAGGTGTCGCATTCTCCTTAAATCTCAGCTTTCTGTTCACACTAGAGGATGTCTTGAAAATTTACTTATTTTCGATATAGTGAACAAAATATGTATGTTTGAATTTCTGTTCACACTAGAGGATTCTTTCTGTTTTAATGTAATTTTTTTTTTTGAAAATTAGCTGAGGTGTCGCATTCTCCTTAAATCTCAGCTTTCTGTTCACATTAGAGGATGTCTTGAAAACTTACTTATTTTCGATATAGTGAACAAAATATTTTTGTTTGAATTTCTGCTCACACTAGAGGATTCTTTCTGTTTTAATGTAAAAAAAACTTTTGAAAATTAGCTCAGGTGTTGCATTCTCCTTAAATCTCAGCTTTCTGTTCACACTAGAGGATGTCTTGAAAACTTACTTATTTTCGATATAGTGAACAAAATATGTATGTTTGAATTTCTGTTCACACTAGAGGATTCTTTCTGTTTTAATGTAAATTTTTTTTTGAAAATTAGCTAAGGTGTCGCATTCTCCTTAAATCTCAGCTTTCTGTTCACACTAGAGGATGTCTTGAAAACTTACTTCTTTTCGATATAGTGAACAAAATATGTATGTTTGAATTTATGTTCACACTAGAGGATTCTTTCCGTTTTAATGTAAAAATAGCTGAATCATTAAAACAGGTGAGTGATTTCATTTCAAAATTCAAAATTTTAAATCAGCTGACTCATTACGTATTTTTGGGAGTTAATTAAGATCATAATGGTTAAAATGTTTTGAAATTTTCTATGTATTCATTGCATGTATAAAGACGATATTTGGTGTTGCTTTTGCCTTTTGGTCTACATCACTGCCACGAGCATTTTGTATCTTCTTTGGTCCATTTCTCTACTCCTCCAATGTATTCAATGTCCTCAAAATACGACTTCGTAAAGGATCTTAATCCGACGAAAGAAGAGTGGAGGATTAAAGTGCGTGTAGTTAGGTATTGGAAGGTTCCCAGTTTTTATCAAAAAGATTTTGATGACAATGTGGATATGGTTTTGGTCGACGAACGAGTAATGTATTTTTTCTGTTTTTCAATGTTTTTATCTTTTCAGTAGCTCATTGTCGTTTTTTTTTTTTTTTTGCTTTGTTGCGTGTTTTCATTTTATAGGGTGGAAGGATCCATGCTACGGCCAAGGGTACTTTGCAGGTTCGGAAGAAAATTCATGAGGGTGATGCTTATTTTATAAAAAAATTTGGAGTTGGGTTGAATACGGGTAATTTCAGGCCAACACGGCATGAATATCGTCTGTCTTTCAACTTGAGGACGGACGTGAAATCCATTGTTGATGCTACGATTCCTTAGCGTGGTTTTGATTTTGCTGAGTTTGACGTTATTGAGAAAGAATCCTCTGACTCTCCTTATTTAATAGGTGATGGGATTGATGTATTGTGTTATTCGCTTTCTATTAAGATTTTGTATATAGGACGTAATGCTGAAACCCATGTTATTTGTTGTGTAGACGTCATTGGTTTGCTGTCTGGAATTGGGGAAGTACGTGAACATGTCATCTCTGGTAGGAATACAAAAATGGTTGTCGTGGAGCTTGAAAACCTGAGGTATTTATGTTATCTATATTTCTGATAGTATTGTAATGTAATTTCTTATGTGTTTTTGAATTTAAAGAAAATGGGATTTTACATCATTTCTTATGTGTCTTTTGTTTCTATATCATGATAGGGGTCAGAAACTTGAATGCACTTTGTGGGAGTCATACGTAGACGAGGTCCAAACTTTCTTAGCAAAGAATCAGAGTGCTCAAAATGTTATAATACTTCAGCTTGCAAGGATAAACAGTTTTAGGGGTACTTTTTTTGCGATTAAAATTCTCATTTTTTATTTTTTTGTTTTGCTGTTTTACTTTTTCTTTTATTTACGTAGCATTTTTTTTTCCAGGAAAGATTGGAATAGCTAATACAAAGTATACAACGAAAATTCTTTTTGATTCCAATATACCTGAGATCGTAGAGTTCAAAAAAAGGTGGGCTACCGTGAGAAATTATAAGGCATTTCTTTTGCTCTATTCACTCATTCTTTATATATTTTTATATTCCAGGCTTTCCGGTGATCTGATGGAAAGTAGTCAGATGTTGACTCAGTTGTCCAGCCCATCTTCATATTCTTATGAAAATGATTTTCTCAAGGATACAGGGAGGAAATTTCTTACTGATATTAAGAATTGCATAGATGCTACTACTTGCATTACTTATGGAACTGTAAAATCCATCGAAAGTAAATACAACTGGTGGTACAAGTCCTGTAAGAAATGTCCATATTCAGTGTGCGAAGATTTTGAGAAATGGTATTGTAAGAACTGTCAGAAACATTGGAATGAATATACTCCGAAGTAAGCCATTTTTTGATTTGCCATTGTTATCGAAAAATTATTCATGCACACTATGTGACTGATGTAAAATTCAATTTTTTATTTTTTTAGGTTCAGTGTTCAAGTCAGAGTTGTTGATAACACGGATTCTGCTTCTTTCGTACTATTTGATAGAGACTGTCTTTCTTTATTAGGAGTGAGTGCTGCTGAATTGCGCGAGCAACATTTTAAGCGGGTTTGGTTCTCAAAACTTTGAATTTTTTTATTAGTGAGGTTCTCAAAACTTTTAACACCCTTAGTACTTCTTTTGCTGTGTTTCCTTTTTTGTAGGGTGCAAATTTAGAACATTATCCGGAAGAGTTGAACGTTCTTAAAGATAGATCTATGTTGTTTAAAGTGAATGTCAAAATTAGCAATTTGAACTCATACAGTGAGCCAAAATATCATGTGGCCAAAGTTTGCATCAGTGAAAGTATTATCACATCATTTCTGAAGACCACGGTGGACCCAAATGTTTGTTTTTTTATTATTATTATTCATAACCTATACTTTTCAAAGTTATGACTTTTTTGCGTTTATGGAAAAAACATTTCAGGATGATTCTGTATTTGACAGTCCTTCTGATGATAATATTATGTCGATAGGGTCAGGAAAAGCTGTGGTGAGTTGGTATTATTGACATAATTGGAAAATTTGATTGCCGTATCCTTATATTAATAGCGGTCAGAGTCATTTTGTTGACAGGATGTTCAGAGTCAAACCTGTGATAGTACTGATGATGCTGAATAACAAATTAAAATCAAAAAAATTAATTGAATAGAAAATTAATTGTCCGTTTTTTTTTGTATTTTAAAATATTTAATAATTCCAATGTAAAAATTGCTGAGTCATTAAAACAAGTGAGTGATTCCATTTCAAAATTCAAAATTTTAAATCAGCTGACTCATTAGATGAGATGACCAATTCCAATGTGAAGGTAAGTGGCGCATTAAATGTTTTGTCTGCCACCTCATTTGTTTTAAATTATTAGAAATTTTAAATCAGCTGACTCATTAAATGAGATGACCAATTCCAATGTGAAGGTAAGTGGCGCATTAAATGTATTGTCTGCCACCTCATTTGTTTTAAAATATTAGAAATTTTAAATCAGTTGACTCATTAAATGAGATGACCAATCTCAATGTGAAGGTAAGTGGCACATTAAATGCTTTGTCTACCTCCACATTTGTTTTAAATTATTAGAAATTAAAATTGATTTTTGATTTTTAAAAGAAAAATCGAAAAAATTTAATTGAATAAAAAATTAATTTTCCGTTTTGTTTTGTATTTTAAAATATTTAATAATTCTAATGTAAAAACAGCTGAGTCATTAAAACAGGTGAGTGATTTCATTTCAAAATTCAAAATTTTAAATCAGCTGACTCATTAGATGAGATGACCAATTCCAATGTGAAAGTAAGTGGCGCATTAAATGTTTTGTTTGCCACCTCATTTGTTTTAAATTATTAGAAATTTTAAATCAGCTAACTCATTAAATGAGATGACCAATTCCAATGTGAAGGTATGCGGCGCTTTAAGTGATTTGTCTGCCACCATATTTGTTTTAAGTTATTAGAAATTAAAATTGATTTTCGAATTTTAAAAGAAAAATCGAAAAAATTAATTGAATAAAAAATTAATTTTCTATTTTTTTTCGTATTTTAAAATATTTAAAATATTTAATAATTCCAGTGTAAAAATAGCTGAGTCATTAAAATAGGTGAGTGATTATATTTCAAAATTCAAAATTTTAAATCAGCTAACTCATTAGATGAGATGACCAATTCCAATGATAAGGTAAGTGGCGCATTAAATGCTTTGTCTACCACCTCATTTGTTTTAAATTATTAGAAATTTTAAATCAACTAACTCATTAAATGAGATGACCAATTCCAATGTGAAGGTATGCGGCGCATTAAATGATTTGTCTGCCACGACATTTGTTTTAAATTATTAGAAATTAAAATTGATTTTCGATTTTTAAAAGAAAAAACGAAAAAGTTAATTGAATAAAAAATTAATTTTCCGTTTTGTTTTCGTATTTTAAAATATTTAAAATATTTAATAATTCCAATGTAAAAATAGCTGAGTCATTAAAATAGGTGAGTGATTATATTTCAAAATTCAAAATTTTAAATCAGCTCACTCATTAAATGAGATGACCAATTTCAATGTGAAGGTAAGTGGCGCATTAAATGCTTTGTCTGCCACCACATTTGTTTTAAATTATTAGAATTAAAATTGAATTTCGATTTTTAAAAGAAAAATCGAAAAAATTAATTGAATAAAAAATTAATTTTCCGTTTTTTCGTATTTTAAAATATCTAAAATATTTAATAATTCCAATGTAAAAACAGCTGAGTCATTAAAACAGGTGAGTCATTCCATTTCAAAATTCAAAATTTTACACCACAATTTAATTGAATAAAAAATTAATTTATAGTTTTTTTCGTATTTTAAAATATTTAATAATTTCAATGTAAAAATAGCTTAATCATTAAAACAGGTGAGTGATTCCATTTCAAAATTCAAAATTTTAAATCAGCTGACTCATTAGATGAGATGACCAACTCCAATGTGAAGGTAAGTGGCGCATTAAACGTTTCGTTTGAAATTATTTTTAATTCTCCCCTGAATTTCGAATTAGTGTGTTGGACTTTTAAATTTTTAAACAAATTAATAAATGCCAATAAAAGCGGTAGATTGGTCGATTTTTTGTAACGAGGAGCTATTGACATTTTCCTTATTCTGTGGCCTATTACCATGTGTTGAACTTTGACAGTGTACCAAGGCCTTAATATTTGTTTTTTAATATTTTGATATCAACTTCGCTTCTTCATTTGCAAACCCTTTTGTTTATTTCCTTTGCATCCCATAATGAGTAGTAATCTATCAGCAATGAAAACTACTTCGCGAAAGAGACGACACAGTCATGAAAGGTTTGCACTGAAAGGTACGGCAGAAACAATATGCTTCGTTTTCTTTGTTGAAGTATATTACCATCTGATTTTTGTTTTCGTTATTGTGTAGAAAATGTTCCTACATTTTCTGCTTCTGCTTTTCCAAGGCAAGTTCTTTGTATCATTTTTTCTTGTGCAGTAAAATTATCAGTAAGAATAGCATGTGTGTTATTATTATTTAATGTTTTAATTTTTTTTTTTTGATAACATTAATGTTTTAATTTTATTTTGTATACTATTTAGCATTTCTCAAGTAACCAATGTGGGGAACGATTGCACATGCAGTAGACAGTGTATTCTTGATACTTCCGATGGTAATAAAAAAAATGTTCTTTTTTTATGTTTACATTATCTTTTATTTTCTTGGTTATTTAGCATCATAGTCGATCTTTTTTTTTTTACCATGTTTGTTGCTTTTATTTTATGAACACAGATTCCTTGGAGAAATACAAAAAAAACGAGTTGTTTCAATGAGTTGTTAAGTAATTCCTCCCCTACAGAGTGTATACCAAATTTTCCATCAATTGGTATGACTAAGTTATTATTCTGCATTATATTCCTATCTTAATTTTATTATTCATATTCCTCATATACTTTGTCTCTGTGGTCTAATTGTTATTATTCATATTGTCAAGAAGATATTTCTGCTGCTTCTCCCTCCAATTTTGGAACGTAAGTTGTCTCCCTCAAATGTTAATTTACCAAAAACCAAAGTGAATAATCTTTACTCCTTGCAGTTATTAGACATCATCATACCAATTTACTTTTTGTTGTTTTCAACAAACAGTCTTTCTGAAATTACCAATATGCATAGTGGTGGTAGCAGTTGTAGACACCCTCTTCGTGATATTTCTAATGGTCAGCAAACTTCTTCTTCAACTGTGTTTATGAAATTTGTTTCGTGACTTCCTGATATAAAATGTCATTTTTTTATTACTAACATGAAAATTGAACTTATGGTCTCAATTTTGTCTAGGGAATCCTTCTTTGTGCTCGAACTCACCCGTTGATAGGTAAGAATTTTTCATTTTTTTTTGTAGAGCTGCAAATTTGCAATTGCACATTACTGTAATTTAGTGTGACTGTCTGGACCGAGCAGGCTTAATGAAATAAACGACGTACGAACAAATTTAACTTTTCCCTCCCCAATTGCTGAAGTAGTTAATAATTCAAATCCACATCGAGGTAATCTTTAATGAAAAAATCCTTTTATTGTTTCGATATATCATGTTATAGAATAAGATGACAAAAATTTATTATGAATTATTATAATAATACTATAGTTCTTATCTTTTTTGTAGATAGCAAAAATGCTAGGATGAGACGCAAAGGAATCATTGCTCAGAGGAAGAATTCAAGAAATTTACAAGCACACTCAATTCCATTAGTAGAATGGCTGATTTAACATGTTAGTTTACCTGTGAGTTTAAACATTTAATACGTCATTACTACATGGATATGGATTTCAACGTTTGAGTTTTTTTCTAATGCAATGCTTAATAGGGTGTCCAATCTGTATTTTTTAATGTTTGAATAGAGATTAATGCTGAGGATGCAATCACCATGCGTTCAACCGTTACTGTGTTATCTAAAGAGAAATTCGTGTCAGGGAATGATAACTGCCCAAGTAGTACTTCAACTTATGTCTGTCAACAAAGTAAGATCGACGTATACTATTTCGCTCAATGTTTTTTAATGATGTTTGACAAGAATATGTATTTTTTCTACCGTCCTATGTTATATTTTTAACCAAGCCGTGTTTGCTACAGACACCAATTCACCCTATCAGCCTGTGTTAGACATATCTTCTGTCAACAAAGGTCGTTGTATAAATTAATTTGATTATTTTTTATTCTGAATTATAATTTTCTTTGTAATATGACTTTTTGCTCTTTGAATATATGTAGATTATTGGGACGTTGGGGATCCCACTTTCATCTGCACGCATTGTGGAGCAAGTATGTGGTATGAAGAGAGACTTAAAAAAGACAGAAAGTCATGCACGCCTGAGTTCGGTTTGTGCTGCGGCAATGGAAAAGTTAAACTTCCTTCTTTAAAAATGGCTCCGGATACTGTTGTGGACCACTTATGTGGTACCTACTTCCTATCCCCTCTACATGGAGCATCTCATTCCACTATTCTCTCCTAACTCCCATCTACTAGCAATAACCACCCACTAGCATTGCATCATGCCATTAAGTCACCTGCAAACTACCCACTAGGTGCACAATCTCCTAGTGCATTCATCTATATATAACCCCTTATAGCTAACAAAGAAGGGGATCTGATAACTCACCTACATACTTGTGCCCAGAGCACATCCTATCCACCACAAGTGACTCACACACACCCCTTGTTCATCCCATCGGACTTTGGCCTAAGGTGCAGGACTTCTCATTGCCTGTCATCTTTACCATAAGCTCCGTAGGTACAAATACTAGCTATCCTGCTAGACCATTAATGTTCACTCCAGAACATTTGGCGCCTGTGGGAAAAAATAAATTTTTACTCCCACAACCATGTTCAAAGGCATAGAGACAAAGACAGCAAGGAAACGCAGTCAGAATATTCGAAAGAACCGCTTCACACCATTAAAAAAGCCTACTTAGCGTTCGCAACACCTAACAGGAAAGATATCTTTTTATTCTTACTCTTACAATTATTATTTATTATGTCGCATGTGCATTCCTGATTACCTGTTACAAATACTGCAACTTTTTGCACCTAACTGCATCCACCAAAGACGTTTTTATCTCGCTAAATATATTTCTCATCCCGTACTTACCTTTT